CTTACTCGCGCGTGTCTGATAACGATGGCGAAGTCAACTATGGCACTCTCTCGGACAAGAAACAGAACAGAGCTGCTGCTGCGGCGTCCCATTCGGCAGACCTTGCCAGTGATTCGCACATCTTGGACTTTGAGCAGGTTGTCACCAGCGAAATGGTCAAGCGCCGCGGCCATGGCAAGTTTTACTTTAAGGACTACATGCCTGCCGTGTTTGAGCAGCTGCGCTCGCTGTTTGGTGTCAGTGCCACCAAATACTTGTCGTCCTTTGTGGCGCGCGACGACCTCAAGGAGGAGCGCGAGCGTCAAATGCTCGAAAAGTTCACGGAAGGCCGCAGCGGCAGCTTCTTTTACTTTTGCCAAGACGCACGCTACATTGTCAAAACGGTCACCTCGAGTGATCTCGCCGTGCTGTGCAAGATTCTCCCCGCGTATTACGAGCACATGCTGCACAACCCAGACTCGTTGCTGGCGCGGTTTTGTGGTTTGCATGCCATCTGTCTGTCACGAGAGCAAGAGTGGATTCACTTTGTTGTGATGGAGAACAGCATCTTTACGCCGCTCAAGCTGCACGAGCGGTACGATCTGAAGGGTTCCTGGATTGCACGTCGCTCACTCAAAGAGGGCAAGACGTTGGCAAATGTGGGCACGATGAAGGATACGGATTTGATCAACAACCAGCGCAAGGTAGGGGCAGGGCTGCACATGCATGTGAAAACGAGCCATTTTGTTTTGTGTGTTGGTTTTTTTTTTTCACCAGTTGACCTAACTGCGTGTGGTTTACGACGATTGCTGACTGTTGGCGTAGGTCAAACTTGGTGCTGTGCGCAGTCGACGAATGATTCAACAGCTGGATACCGACGCCACCTTTTTGCACAGCTTGGGGATTATGGACTACTCATTCTTGTTGGCGGTGCATTCGCAAGACCCGAACGACGCGAAAACTCGCGCGGCAGTCGCGCGTGCTCGCGAATTTGAAGCAGCCCAGGTTGTTCCGACTGCGAGTGACGTGGCGACGCATCGGCCAGAAAGCATGCTTGTGGGTGAAGACGCCCTCAACAGCAGTTTCATTTCGCACGTCTCGACCGCAAGCGCTGGGAGCGCCGCAGGCGCCGACTCGCACCGCCACGCATCGCACAACATCCGGCGATATACGCCATTCTACCGCGTCGATGCGGGTGGCATGCAGGGCGTTGATGGTGCGCAGCCGTGCTTGTACTTTGGCGGCGTCATTGACATGCTGCAGCAGTACGACCTGTCCAAAAAGCTCGAGCATTTTGCCAAAACGAAAATCACGTGCAAGGATGCCCATGGCATCAGCGCTGTGGAGCCGCACGAGTATCGGGATCGGTTTGTGCGCGCAATGGAGCAAATGTTCGAGTAGTTTGAGTTGAAGGATGTATTTTTTTGAAACTATTAAACACGCCACTTACTCTCGTTTTTTTTCAGTTCCACCATACCCATCCCGAGGTACAATTTTTTAAACAAAAAGCGAACAAAAAGCAAACAAACAAAATCTACAACGAACACAGCGACTAATCCGAGTCGTCTCGCAAGTCCTCGCCATCCAAAGCCTCATCAGCAGTGTGACGATCCACACCCTCGCCAGCTTCGCGAAGGTGGTGGCGTCGTTGCCGCAATACGGGTGGTTGTTCATCTGCGCCGAGGGGTGCAGGTTCTACAAGGCCTTCGTCAGCTTGCGCAGCTAGAGAAGGAGCAGGCAGTGCACGCTCGTTCAAAGATGGTCCTGCTCCAGCCCGTCGAGAATTTGCAGGTCCAGGGAAGGCTGATGATGGTGATGCTGCAGCTTGGGGCTTGGGCGGCGCTGGGGCTGCGCCAAGGTCGGCGTCAAGTTCTGGCGCTAATACGCCAGCCTCTTCCAGAGAGGACAGGAGATCTTGTTCCAGCGACTCCATTTGCTCATCGTCGTCTCCATGCGGCGGCGGAGGAGGTGGTGGCCAAAATGCGGGCTCGTTCAACACGGGAGGCGCCTGTCGGGCTGATTCGTTGCGGGACCAGGCCTCGCGATCCCGGAATCCAGCATGCTGGGCACGCTCGTCTTCATCCACGCCCCATCCAAGCAACTCGGCAAAGTGGGCGTCGACGTTGTAGCGGCGGCGAACGAGCCAGAACAATACCAGCAGCAGCACGAACAGCCAGCAAATCAGAATGCTGCCAGTCGTGAACGGCCACCAGTACATCCAGTACCGCAGACCGATAAAGTGGGCATCGATACGCAGTGTTGCGGAATACACTTGCAAGAGTGGCTTCGACACGGACACGACAACGGATGTGATTGGATGATGCTGCAACAAGTACAAATAGCGTTAGTTGTAAAGTGGATTCTAGGTCGTTCAGGGTTCTTCTTGCAGTAGCTCACCGGATTGTCGTGCATCTGCTCAAAAATTGGCACACTCATGCTCTGATGCTGATCTGTGATGCCAAGGAGCAGCGGAATTGCAAAGACAAGGGTATGCATCGTTCGCAGGAGGTCGGATCGATATCTGAGGACACACTGTTTTGGCCAAGAGAGAGAAAAAAAAAACTCGTGTCAACGACAACAGTGCGTTCAACAAGAAAGCGACGAGATGGACAGAACTCCGACACTCACTGGTCTTGATGCGTTGCGAACAGACACGCCTTCGGCCGAGAGGAACGAGACACCAATCATGAACATGCCTAGAATGAGACGAGCAAAGAGGATGAGTCGATTTTCAAGACACCAGTCCATGTTTTGCTCTGCTCCCTACCGAGCTGACGGTTGACATCCGAGTCTGGCAGATCAAGCACCACCGACACGTCGTATCCTTGACTTCGGCTCAGCAACTGTGCGGAAAATCAGGTTCAAACAACACGTCCACCGTTCAGCATGGATACACACGACACTCCATACAAACCACCATCTCCCAAAGACGAATATCACATCAACAACATGCTCATGATCAAAGGGTTGGGTCAGTTACGCGGTAGTTTTCGGTGAGGGTGATGTGGTCTCGCGGTGGAGCTGCGGCTGCGTCGAGGCGCAATGCCAGCGCACTTGCATCGATGATTGCCGAGTCTGAGAGCACGCTTGCCACGAGCGATTCTGACGACGATGATCTGGTCCAAGTTCACACATAATACGAATGGTGAGCATTGAAATTTGGGCCAATTGAGAAATGGGACTTCAATTGCAAGTGGACAGACAGCTCAGTGACAATCACCAACCCCATCTCCCTTGAACATGAAGACAGCTGCAACAAACTACAAACAAACTTCAAAATAACGTAGGGCTGCGGCGGGTGGGGAAAGAGAGAGGTGCAAGACTGGCCTTACTGGAATTGGAGATGGACTGGGCGGACGAGCGAGGCGGTCGGGATGTAGGCGAGGTAGAAGGCAACGTAGAGACAGACCGCACAGCCAAAGACGGTCGCAAAGTAGAGCGCATAGAGCAGCGTTCTGCCTGTCGCGCGGGCAATCCAGAGCGCAAGGGCGGCGAGTCCCGTTCGGACGACGAGCAGCCGCAGCACAAGCTCGGCGAGCCAGAGCAGCCACCGCACCACCACGTTGGCCATCAGAGAGTGCTGAGGATTGTGTAATGTGAGCTACTGAGCTGGGAATGAGCGAGTAAGAGAAACAGAGACTGAGGTTAAGCAATGGGGAAGTCGGAAAGAAAGAGAACTGCGCGGTTTCTGAGAATTTGCTCAGACATTGCACGTTGTCAAATCAACCCTCTCTCTCTGGCTGATGTTTTTGCAATGTGGCAGTATATTCGTTGTCTCTCTCCCCCCCCCACCTCAACGAGCGTGTTTCTGAGACTTTGTTCCGGTCTCAACTCGGTCTCTCTCTCTCTCGCTGATGCTGGAGCATGCAGTCAGTCTTGCTGTTTGATTTTTTTCATCCTTTTGCTTTTCTTAGTCTTTGTTTTGCAACAATGGTGCGCGCATTCAAGCATCATGAGGCAAAGCTGCTCAAGAAGGTTGACTTTCTGCAGTGGAAGAGCGAGAACAACCTGCGCGAAGTGAAAGTCCTCCGCAAGTACCACATCCAGCGCCGCGAGGACTACACAAAGTAATGCAGAGTCAGGGGGAAACTGGAGCACGCCTGAGGGTTGGTTGGTCGGTTGGTTGATGGAGTGGGTTCAGTGAGCGCGTAGTCCATGTGGCTCAAAGCCCGGCCCCGAATCCCGTCAATGCTGCAGCCCACCTCTGCTGCAACTGGGCTCGATTCAACGTCGAGGGGCCGTCCTCAAGTGCTTCTGAAAGCAGCCTCCCACTCCCAAAGTGTGGAGGACCTGGGGGGCGATGACAGTCTCACTCACTTGCTCAAAATCCTCAATGCAAACAGGTACAACAAGCTCTGCGGCATCATCCGCTCGCTCGCTTCAAAGATCTCACTGCTGGACGACCGAGATCCTCACAAGGCACACACAAGCAGCGCGCTGCTGGACAAGCTGTCAGTTGCGAGCGTGAAGGGGCCGAAAGCAGCGCACACGCATGTTTGTTGGCTGACATTTCGGCTTGTGTGTGGAGTAGGTACCGAATGGGTCTTATTGTCACTGCTAAAGGCTTCCACCAATGCGAAGCAGTCACAGCGTCTGCATTCTGCCGGTAAAATGCCCAAAGACACAGAGCCAGAGAGCTGTCTCGGTTTTTTTTTTTTTTTTTTTTTTGGTTTTACACTCAAACATGCTTCCCTATCCTTTGTGCCTGTCTTTTTGCGCAGACGACGATTACCAGTTGTCATGGTCCGTCTGAAGATGGCCGAAAACGTCCGCGAGGCCGTGCAGCTTGTCGAGCAGGGCCGTAAGTCGCTGTTGTTGCGGGGGAGGGTCGTTTCGCCAACAACCTAATCGCTCTGCCTCGATTCGATTCGGCGTGCGACGTTACCGCTCCTTACATCCTTGCTCACCTTCTGTCGCCACTGTTCACTGTCGTAGACGTTCGAGTGGGTCCTGATGCAGTCAACGATCCTGCCTTCCTCGTCACAAGGTAAAAATGACTCACGCCGGTTGTCCGACTCGTCAACCCGTTTCCTTCCCATGTGCTTCCCTCTCATCCCCCACACCGCATTTTTGAGTCCAACTATCATACCGTACTTTATCTCTATGAGCGGATAGGGTCAGCATGGGATTGTCCAGGCCTCTCCTACGCTGATCAGCAATACCCCGCCTTATTTTTTGACTCATACTGACTTGTGCGGCGCTTGCTCCTCCACAGGCCGATGGAAGACTTTGTGACTTGGGTCGATACCTCCAAGATCAGGCGTCATGTTCTCAAGTACAACGACAAGGTGAGGTGTTCTCTTTGTTGTCTGGTCGCATTGCAAGTCGAGCATTGTTTTGTCGCTGACTTTTGGGGCGCTCGTTTTTTTTTTGTGGTTTTTTTTGGCTTGCGCGCAGCTGGATGACTTTGACTTGTTGTGAAGACTTGTGTGATTCAATGTTTGAAGTTTCGTTCAATACGATTGTGCTTTTTCGTTCCATGCATCTGAGAGCATCGTTCAGTGTGATCATTGTCTTTGGCTTTTTGTTTTGTGTTTCTCCCACCGTCCAGCAGCGCTTTGTTTCCAGGATAGCGGTAAAGCCAGCAGCATGTTGGAGACGAGCGAATGAATTGCGTGGGTTTGACCTGGGCAACACATTCAAAATCGATCTGAGCCCAGATCTGGGTGGGCGTTTTTTTTGTTTGTGGCCAGATTCGCTTTGTTTTTGTGTTTTCCCTTGCGTTGCCAGTTGCAACGGACTCGGAATTTCACCATCGATACCTGCGCTGTGATACACTATTCTAATCCATGGGCGTGGTCCGTTGCGCTCCAGGACTCTGCTCCTTACGCACATCCTCGCAAGCACACTGGCAGCCCCCCGTCGGCACGCACCGTGGCTGTTCTCATTCACCGAACAGAGAGAGGCGTCATCGAAATTTGTTGGTCGCGTTTGTTTGCCAAACCCACTCCTTTCGGGCTTTTTTTCCCCATTCGTTTGCTTGGAGAGTGACGTTCCTTGCCGCACAACCAAGCCACGCACAGCCACGCACAAAAAACGTTTACACACACAGGCATGCAGAAAGTCGAGACCGGTCAATCGGGAACCGAGCCGAGCCAGAAACCGAACGATTAATTTATTTTGAATTTTTCTTCATTCACTTCACTCCCACTTTGGCTCACTCCCTCTTTGTTTTTCTTTTCCTTTTTTCACTCCCACTTGTTCACTCCCTCCTGCTCCCCTCCCACACCGCCCCTGCATCACCGAGTGTCTGCCTCACTGTTGGATTCTTCTCCTCCGTTCGAGCTCTTCGTCGTCTTACTCATTCAGTAGGTTTCCCCGTTCTTTTTTTTTTTTTTTTTCTCTTTTCGTTTGGCGCATCTTGTCAAAAAATTGCTGTGGGTTGGCTTTTTTGATCAATTGTCATGTCTTCGCCTTCTGGTCTTGTTCGCTCACTCGCTTCGCTGACTTCTCTCGAAAGCAGCATCCCAAACGCGCACAATCCCCAAGCACCGTGAAGCAGGCGGACAGCACACGCGAAGCCCCCTCTGCCCCCAATCCACCACAATCCCCGATAGGACCCGAGTCAACACAATCAAACAAAAAAGAAAAAGAAAAAAAAAAAAAAAAACAAGGCAATTCAAATATGACCCAGTCACAGACAACGCCTGTGCTCCTGCAGCCAAGCAGCAGCGACACAACGAGACTCTTGCAGTCACGAGCAACAACCCTCGCGCCGCCCGCAAGCAGCTCGCATGCGCTGGGCTCGCGTTTTCATGTGAGCGCGCCCGAATTTCCCAGCGTGAGTAACGCATCATCGACATCGGCCGCTCTGGCCGATTCTGAGCAGGTACGTACGCGCAACTCCCCCCCCTTTCCGACAATGCCGTGTCCACACCATCCCGTCTCTCGTTTGCAAGCACTCTCACGCAAGCGGCAACACTCGGCAATGGCAGCATGGGGATTTTTTGGATCCGGCGATTCGATGGTGGTGTTGTCGGGTGTTTTTCGCAAAGTGTGATCTTTTTGAAAAAAAAAAGTTGTCTCGCGATGTGTCGAGATCACAAAAACAAAACACGAATCAACAGCAACACCCAAACAGCAAGCAACAAAACAAAAGCAGCGGTAGCAACAACAACAAGAACAACAACAACAACAACAACAACAAACAAAGAAAGAAAGAAAGGAAACGAGACAAAAACAAACACAAACGCGCCTAAAATGGCAATTAACATCAGAAAACGCAAACGAAAGAACTCTTGACGGATAATTGCATGGACAAACTGGCCCTTGTTGTTGTGCTCACCCCCCAAATCGTTCGAATGCTTGCAACCCAGACAATCAAATCGACGGACGCTGTAGCCGACGCAATTGTCATTGAAAGCGAGGACAAGGTGCTGCTCCAGCCTGTCGCACAGCGAGTGGCCGGTCGCATGAGCCTGAACAGCAGCAGTAGCAGCCCGAGCCCAGCACGAGCCGGCGAGTTGCGAAGGACCCGCAGTGACATTGCCACCGGTCCGGATCTCAACGCGCTCATCTCCAAGCACTCGCGCGTGTATGCTCAAAAGACAGTCTTGTTGCCGGCAGCCCAGATGCTCGCAGGCGCAGAGCCCATGTTACAGCACGCCATTCTCCCCGAACACGCAGCCGTGATTCTGCACAATCTCATGTCGTTCGGGGCACGGACGCTGTCCGATTTGGATCCCATCCTCTACAAGTTTTCGCAAACGCGCTGGACGAGCGATTTCACGAATCGGGTCTTTGTCTCGCTTATCAAGCTTGTTGCCGACGAGGGCAACTTGAGTCAGCTTCAATCATTATCCAAGCTGGTTGACACTCCTCAGGCATAGGAAGGGCTGTCGTGTGAATATCATGTTGTGTATATCTGTTTGTACCTGCTGCGGCTTTGGGCCGGGCGCTCAACGCCGAACATTGTCTATCGCTCATTACATTACCTCTTTTTCTCGTCTTCCTGTCATTAAGCTCATTACATTACCTCTTTTTCTCGTCTTCCTGTCATTAAGCTGGTTGCCATATACACGACGACCCATCCAGCCATGCGATCTTCTTCGTTCACCGTAAAGTTCCAAAAAAAAAAAAAAAAAAAAAAAGGTGGCACGGCGGGGACAGTACAAATACATTGGCAGCAAAAAAACACACTATTAACCAGACACAAGATAGCACAAACTCAACAGCAGAAACACGCGGCCCGGATCATGACGAGGAGGCTGGAGTCGGTGATGATGCTACTGCGACTGCGTTCTGAGCGGCGAGGGCGTCCTGGTCCAACTTGGCCTGCCTTTCGCGCTGTCTTCGCTCTTCCCGCAAGTCATACGTGGTCTTGGGCCGTCCTTCCACTGGCGGTGCAATCGTGCGCTCGACCTGCGATCCGAGATAGCCGACCACGACGGCAATGGGCAAGCAGACCACGGCAACGGCACGCGGAAAGAGTCTAGCACAAGCACGCCCCCGCATCCAAATGCATTGAGTGATGGATCCAGACGAGATGGCAGAAGAAGCGATGCGATCAGGAGCGAGCGGGGTAGCAGAGGGGAGGTGGGGGAGTGCACACAAGCGTGGAAACCCCGTTCTTCGTTCTCCTTATTCACAGTCAAGGCTTACACTTGAACGAATCGCGCAAACATGCCGAGTACTGGGAAAGAAAAAAGTGAGCTTTCTACACTGGTCGTTGTTGAATGATATGAGCAAAGAATGGAGCAAAAGTCGGACTGAACTCGATCAAGACTGAGCGAAATTCCGCCAAGAGAGACTAGACTGGAAACAAAATGCGACCGATGCCGCGAAATGGTCGGAAGGATCTTGTTACTCGTGCTGGGTTTCAGCTTTGGCAAGGGCTGAGAGAAGACGAGTCAAGGCGAACGCGACCAACTTGTCCTCAGTGTTGGCAGACCACACCTCGCTTTACCTTGCGCTCGTGTACGGTACTGGAGATAATCTACAGTAGTATTTCTCGAGTCACTTTTGTCAGTCCATCTCTCTTTCTCTTGTGTTCATTCATTTTCGTATGGCGACCATTGAGGACATCAACCCGCATGTCAGCCAGTGTTTGCTGGCCATCCTGCTCAACGACGCGGACTCTGAGCAGCAGCTCCACACTCTCGAAGAGTACCCTGGTACGTTCTACACTCAGCATCCTCATTGACAGACGTTGGGAAGGACGCATTGAGACAGGAGAAGGGGGAAACACTGAGCGGATTGCAGCTGCATTGAACTTCCCGCCAAAACCTGAAATTTGGCGGGAATGCTCCACGCGGTCCCATTGGGAAGCCCGACGCTGGTGGCGTCCAAAGTCTCGCCATCCAATCCTCCCCGCCCCCATCGCTTTTCGCACTTGCTTCAGCCAGCACCATCTCCGAGATCATCTAGCCAATGCGGCTCCTTCCCCTCCCACAGCCGAACTGACCTGCATGTGCATTTTTTTTTTTTTTTTTTTGGTTTTTCGGTTTTGTCGATGCACAGCTTTCAGTGCGAGCCTCGCTGCGTTTCTGGCGGACAATGACGTGCCTCCAGCAGTGCGTCAGCTTGCAGGCATCTTGCTGCAGCAGTTTGTGACCAAGCGGTGGCAGGGACACTTTGCGCGCGATCCAGTGACGGACGAGCGTCTGTCCCTGCTCGCCCCTGCGCCGCCGGCCGACGTCAAGGCGCGAGTGCGTGAGCTCGTCGTGCCTGTTCTGGGCTGCACAGACTCCAAGCTGCGATCGGCCGCTGCCTACCTGCTGGCCAGCATTGGCAAGTACGAGTGGGAGTCCGAGTGGCCCGAGTTCTTCCCCATTGTCAACGGATTGCTCCAGGCTGGCGACAAGAACCAGGCCCACGGCGCATTGCGTGTGCTCGAAGAGTTCCTGCATCGCTCGGATGCCATTAGCAGCGAGACAATGATTCCCGTCTTGCAGAGCCTCACTCCGCTGTTGCACAACATTTTCATCTCGGAACACGCGTATGGCGTGCGCGCTCGCGGTCGCGCAGTCAAGATCTTCACCACATGCATCAAGCACATTTACACCCGGCGCGCCGACGAAAAGAAGGCGATCGCTGACGCGATCGTTGCGCCGTGGATTGGTCCCTTTGTTGCCGTCCTGTCTGCCGAGCACTCGGAAACCGCCGATTATGGCCTTCGTGCGATGGTGTTGGCCAGCTGCGAGCGGATTGCTGGATCCTTCCCTCCCAAGATTGCCGGAGAGCTGCTCGAGCCCATTGTCGGCCCGATGTGGGTGAGCTTTGTTTCTGGCATCGCTTTCTACGAGCGACTCGTCGTCAATGCAACCGATGCCACTGAGGCGGCCAACTACGACTCTGACGGCACCGTCCTTGACTTTGACACGTTTATCGAGTATGCGATGCAGTTCCTCAGCAAAACGCTGGACATTAAGCGTCTGCGCAACATTATCGCTGCCAACCTTACCGGCGTTGCGTACTATGTCAGCCGTTACGCCCAAATCACCGAAGAGCAGGTATGTGGCCATCTGTTGAGAACTTTGCAGGAGATGCAGTAGGGGGGAACGCGAATCACTGAGAACAATCCCCCTTGTTGCGAACGTTCTGGTAGGCTGAGCGTTGGGAGGACGATATTGACGAGTATCTCGATGACGAGGATACCGAGCGATCTGCATCAGCCAGTGTTCGAGTCGTTTGCGAGGAAGTGACATCGGTAATACGCCAAACTTGGGTTTGCTTCCGTCATGATCCTTGCAGAGTGACTAACGACACGATTTTCTGGTTGTGGGTTTCTAGGTGCTGTTTGAAACTCTCGGTTCTCCTGTAGCCATGGCATTTGTCGATTCCACAAGCCAGCTAGTGACGGAGGCGCTGGCGGCCCGTGACGCTGGCAGCGAGGCCTGGTGGAAGCTGATTGAAGCCCCACTCCGCTTGTTGCTTGTGAGCCAAGAGCACGTGCTCGAGTCCCACCGACATCTGACGGGTGGTGTCCAATTCGAAGACCTCGTTCGCAATCTGCTGGCCAACGCGCTCGCCACCGAGAACTGTGCGTTGTGTAGCACCGCGCTGTTGATCTTGCCACTCTGGTTTTTTTTTTTTTTTTTTTTTTTTTTTTTTGGTTTCCATGTCTGACTTGCAGAAATATCTGCTTCCTCGTTGTGCTCCATCCGCCCCAAAAACAGTGCCACCCTTCTTCCTTGGCACCGCTTTGAACTTTGCTGCAGCTTATGTGAGCATTCTTTCCCCAGAAGTCAGTGCCGCGTTCTTGCCGTCCGTCCTGGCTGTCTTGACGCAAGACGGGTCTTCCAACGTTCTGCGTGTTGGGGCCATTACCGCCCTGAGCTCGTACGTTTGACTTTGTTGTTTGTGAACAGTGATACTTTGATGAGGATTGTGATCGAACGCTCATTCAACCATCCACTTTGGTCCTGCTCAGGCTGGCAGCTGTCAAGGGCTCGCAAGAAGCCCTGCAGCCTCATGTTGCAGCCTTGATTGAAAGCCTTGTTCGATCTGCAATGGATGCCACCCCGACCTTGTTGCAAGTTATCATCGATGGCATCATCCTGCTCCTTCCTGTACGCGTTGTGTTTTTGGCAACAATTCTACTCGCAGAAAGTGACTTGCTCACATGCCCTCACATTTACGCGCCTCTCATTGCCCAACACGCAGATTGACCAGCAAGCTTCAGCTGCACTCGAAGCTCGTCTCACACCGCTTGTTTTGGCCTGCTGTTTGCGGCTCTACACTAACGGTGGGCTTTTTGACCTTGTTCGCAGCCCAGTTTCTGTTTTGTCGAGCGAACACTCATTGTGACTTGACTGCATTTGCCGGTTTTACTTACACTTGTACAGGCATGGTTTTGAGCGCCGCGCTTGATTTGCTGCGCACAATCTGCCTCAATCCGCTCATGCATGCTACCGCGACCACGCGCATTGCCCCGGCCGCCATTTCTTACTTTGAAACCTTCCTCACCTCCGAGACTCCTGATGAAGCAATGGTTGAGCTTGTGACGGTATGTTTGTGGAGCTTGCAAAACGCAATTTTTTTCCTTGGTCGATGCTTGGGATTGGGGTCTTAGTGTCTCATCTTGCACTGTTGTTTGGCCCAGGTGTTTGTGGACATGATTGGCATCTTGGCGGCATCAGTGCCGCCGGAACAGGCGGACGGGTACGACTCGTTCTTTGTTCCGCAATTTGGCGCTTTGATGCGACTATTACTGCATACCAACGAGTCGGGTATTGTTCAAGAGGGCACAGTCGCGCTCCGCGGCTTTGTTCGGTCCTTCCCAGCACGAATCCTGGCCTTCGCCGACGCCAACGGCAATTCGGGAGCGACGCTTCTGCAAGCCTTCGTGATGAAGGTTTTCGGACCCACAGCGCCGTGGCCCTATGTCTACTTTGGCGACAACCTCGTTCTTGGAATTCTGCGCAAGGTTTGTTTGTCGCCATGTGTTGTAGCCTGCTGCGGCGTGGTTTCCCCACGGCATGATCTCGCGGCTCACAATGTGTTTGACTTGCGCAGATTCCCGAAGTTTTGACTCCGTACCTTTCAGACATGGTTCAAACCATGCTCACCCGCATGGCTGGCCCTTCCACGGATGCTAGTCTCGCGCGCAAGGTATGTAATTATGGTTGTTTGAATTCAAGCTTTTTTGATTTGTTCTCTGTCGAGAGCTCCACTAATGACGTGACATCTCGGTTTTATTTGTTTTTGTGCAGGCCTTCCTTGTGGTTATTGCATTCTTGATGCAAACTCAGCTCGCGGCGGTGCTCGATCTGATTGCCAACACGACCGTTGGCGACAAGAATGGTCTGACCTTGTTGCTCCAGACCTGGGTCGATGTCCAGCACGCTATTATTGGCGATACGTTTGCCAACAAGTTGTTGTGAGTTTTGTCACATTGCACCCGTTGGCCATTCCTTTCCCCCCGCCCTGCTATCATTCTCACAATTCCAACAATTTTTGTCGAATGACAGGATTATTTCGCTTTGCGCCCTTCTCATGTCGGAGGATCCTCGTGTGATGGCAGTAACCCTGCCTGTTGAAGTGCAAGTGGCAGCTCCTTCCAAGAGTGAGTATCGTCGCATATTGAGTGGTTGTGCCGATGGAAATTGTCCTTCTCACTGGCGAATCAACCATCCAAATCTTGGTTTTGCACGAGCAGAAGTCCGCACCCGCTCTCAAACCCGTCAAAGTAAAGTTTGATAGCACGTTGTCAGCTGCCGATGGATTGTGCCAGCCGATTGCTCACACTGCGGAAATTTGTCTCGAATAGCCGTTCAAATCCAGCAACTCCCCGCCATTATCTCCATGTTCCAAGTGCTTGCAGCTGAGCTACAAGTGCAACAAGAGCGCGCAGCTGCGCCTCTTGCCTCCGCCGCCGACGAAGAGGAGAGTGACTACGAGGACGATGATGGCCAAGGAGACGACGATGGCGCCTACGAGGATGTGGACGATGGACAGGGCGAGCAGGACGACTTTGATGATGATCTCTTTGGCGATCTTTCGGGTATGGTTTTTTTCTGCTGGTGGCAGATCAAGTAGAGAGTTGTGTGAGGTATGTTGGAGTCATGGATTTCTCATCTACTCCGCACACTCTTTTGGTTTCGCAGACAACATGTTCGCTGACGATGAAGACGACGACAAGGTTGAGGAAGAGTTTGATGTGGCGGACGATCCGATTTGCACCATTGATTTGAAGGTATGCTGATTTTTGTAGAATCAGTTCAGTTGAGCCGTGTCGCGGCAGTTGATTCTTTGTTTCTCACTCTGGTTTGGCATGCAGCTCTACCTGACCGACTTTTTCCGCGCAATCAATGCCAAGCACCCCACCGAGGTTGAGCAGATGATGGTTCATGTGGACCGCATGTCTCGCGACGCACTGAAGCGCATTGGCATTTGAGAGAAACAATCGTTTCGTTTCTGTTGTTGATTTGCTCGTTCCTTCCGCCTTTCCGCGAACTGAAATTGGACTTTGAACGGAATACAATCAACAACATACAGCACTTTGTTTGAACGAACGATTCTTCATGTCACGCACATGCACTTGCATCATGGTCGGGATTCAAGCCGTTTTGTTGCGAGCTCAAAGTTTTTCGTCAGCCGTTGGTGATCGCGATGCAATGCCGCCGCAACGTTCGATGTCTCAACCAGCAGCACATCCATGTCTAAGAGTTGTGGATCCATCGACGACGTTCCGGGTTCTGCCGTAGGTTGCGCTTGACTACTCGGCGCTGGCAGGTGTTGCAGCTGGGACGAAATTGCTTGCTCTTCCATGCGTGCCAACAAAGCTGTCATGGCATCTAGGTCGTCTGTGGCAAAGAAGAGCGAGAGCGAGAGAGTTACACAAAACCGGATCGAACAGTCGTACCAGACGATTTCACAGTGAGTTGGTCAGTACAAGCTCGATCATGAGCACGGACCACGCTTAAATCACTTCAACAACAGCAACATCATCAATCATACCTATTGCTCGAGAGTGCGAGTATGGCGATCGCAACGCCGCATCACTATTGACAGCCATAAGCCACGACGTTTCATCCATCGCAATGGGCCAATCCATCACAATCATTGCAATAATCATTTTCATGCACTCAATGTGAGTTTGTGTGCAATAGTCAGGGAGTAGGCATCAAAAGCGATCGTTCGTAGTTACACTTGGGCGAGACAGGCCTCAACGTTGCGCTCCAGCTGCGCGCACAGCTCGGTCAGCTCACCCGCGTTGGCTGCGTACTGTTGGTGATGTGAGATCGCAGCGACTGTCTGGGATGCGGTCGTGCTGGCAGGCGTCAAGAGCGGCTGGCTTGCTGGCGACCAGATCCCGCCTGGAGTTCCAATCGACATGCGACAACAACGACAAGTGAAAAAGTGTATCGCAAAGATGGAAGACTGAGCAAGCCAAAGTAAAACAGAACAACGTGCAGTATATCGCACACGACGCCTCCAGTTCGATTCATGTAACGTGAGTAGGATGCTGGAGGCGTTTTGCTATATGATTCTGCGCCTGGCAGTTGCGAAAGGAGCCAACGCCCAAAGCGACACAACAAACATCAGCAAGATATGTATCATTGCTCAGATACCAGAAAACAAGCGGTACAACGGGGTTTCGATCCGAAAAACGCGAACTTCGGAAGGAGGTACATTTTTGAAGCACATTCAATTTTCACAGCCTTTTTCACATACACACACACCGCGGGATCCTGTTGGGCAAGAATCAAACAAAAATACAGTACATCTCAAACGGAACAAACAAGGCAGGAAGCAGCTGGGACTGTAAAATTCGCGGAAAGAGCACGTTGTACGTGCGCGGCAAGTAATTTCCACACAGCTCTCCGACGAAGCGAATTTACCCGCTACAGATTGAAACACGAATACAGCAACCCCCGCTTGCCATCAAGAATCCAACAAAGTGAGGATGCTACCAAAGGACGGGCGTTCGTCACTTTCATCGGCAAGACACTCGAGGGCGAGAGTGACAATCTCGCGGACACCCTGATGCTCGGCTTCGGTTGGATTGAGGGTCGAGTCCACCATGCCAGCGATGGCTTGGTTTGTCACCGCTATGCGCGCCTTTGACTTCAGCCTGGTGCCGGGTTTTTCTGCAGTCAGCAGTTCCAGCAGAATCATGCCAAACGCGTAGACAGCCGTCTTGTTGGTCATGCGGCCTTCCTCAAAGAACTCCGGACACATGTAAGGAGCTGCGCCTTGCACCAGCTGGGGAACTGCGCCTTGCACAAGCTGGGTGAAAATGTAGCTCTTCTCATCGAGGTGTTGGGCGCGGAAGAGACCAAAATCAGACACTTTCGCATTGAAATGCGCGTTTAGCAGCACGTTGTCGGTCTTCAGGTCGAAGTGAAACAGTGGCTTGTCAGAGAAGGCTCCCTGGATGTAGTGCATGCCACGGGCAACATCAGCCGCAATGCGATGACGCTGGGACCAGGTCAGCGGAGGGGTTGTTTTTGTGATTCAAGCGATCGCGAACAGAGCCATTGGGCATGAACTCGTACACCAGGCATCGCTCGTCACCGTCTTCTGCATACGACAGAATAGCAACAACATTCGGGTGGCGGAATTTCGCCAACGAGTGCAGTTCCGACTTGAATTCGGCAGAGCCTTGCTTGGATTCGGCAGACAGCTTCTTGATGGCAACGCGAGGGCCAGGCAAACTGGCGCCGTACACACGACCAAACGCTCCTTCGCCGAGCAGAGCATCAGCAGCAAAATTGTTTGTGGCGGTGACAAGCGTTGCGAGAGAAACTCGCGGGATGGGTCCGTCAGAGCTCGCTGCCGAGCCAACACCTGGTTGGTTGCGCTCCAGCACGTCAATCCGATCAAGTGCTGACTTCAGTTCAAGATCCTTGGCAGCGAGATCGGAGCGAAGCTGTTGCAGCTCCTGGTCTTTGGCAGCCAGCTCGAAGCGGACCTTCTGGTTCTCGGCCTCAAGGGTGGTAGCCCGAGTGATCGCGGCGCTGGTACGAGCAAAAATCTGAGCCAATTCATCATTCGAAGGAGCACGCTGGTCGTCAAGGCTACCAAAACAAATCAATGGCGCCAAAGCAAGTGAATGGCTTTGTAGTTTGAAATTTCCTTCACGAAAAAATCCAAGAAACATGCAAAGCCTTACTCCAAGTCACAAATGGCATTGCCCGTTTGCCTGAATGCAGCGATTCCGTCAGTTGTCAGGAAGTTGTTGTTCAAACTGTGTTTGTCGGTCACATTGCAGAATGTAGCATGAGTCTAGCGATTGTGAGGGCATATTGAAACAACCCAATACTTACTACAGCATAGTCAGCGTCTCGTTCACTTTGAGTGCCTCGGCGATCGCTCGCGCTCCCGCATCGCCAATCTGATTCTCACCCAGACTGCTCATCCCATCCATCAGTGAGCACCCTGAATCTACTCTCTGGAAGTCACCCACTCACATGCCTCTGTCAAAACGAGCGACTTACTCGAGCTTGGTCACCGTCGTATTCGCTTTGAGTGCATCAGCAAGTGCCTGCGCTCCAGTACAGGTAATCTGATTCTCCCACAGACTGTCCGTCCCATCAGTGAGCACTCTGCATGTCTCTGCTGAAACCACCCACTTGCATGCATCAATAAGTTTGAGCTACTTTACTAGAGCTTGGTGAGCGTGGTGTTCACCTCAAGTGCCTCAGCAATTGCCTGTGCTCCATCATCGCCAATCTTATTCTGGTACAGACTGTCCAAGTCCCATCTCTCAATGAGCACTGAATAGCCACAGCTAAAGTCACCCCCACACCTGCATCTGCTCAAAGTGAGATGGCTTACTAGAGCTCAGTCAACGTCGTGTTCACCTTGAGTGCATCAGCAATCGCCTGCGCTCCAGCAGCGCCAATCTGATTGTGCCACAGACTACTCGTTGCTCTCATCAGTGAGCACTTTTCGTCCTCTGTATTGCCCATTCACATGCATCAGTAGCTTTGAGATGTCTTACCCCAGCCTAGTCAGCGTCTTGTTCACCTTGAGTGCCTCAGCGATCGCCTGTGCTCCAGCATCGCCAATCTGATTCTCATTCAGACTGTCCATCCCTCTCGATCAGTGAGTAACTCTGAATTCCCTCTGCTTCAATCCTCCACTCACATGCGCCAGTCAAAGAGAGATGACGTACTCGAGCTTGGTCAAAGTATTGTTCACTTTGAGTGTCTCAGCAAATGCGCGCGCTCCAGCATCGCCAATCCGATTCTCTGCCAGACTGTCCAGTCGCTTCCATAAGTGAGTACTCTGAATGCCTCGACTGAATCGTCCACTCACATGCATGGGCAAACGTCAGATGCCTTACTCGACCACTGTTAAAGTGCAGTTCGCTCTGACGGCCTCAGCAATCGCCCGCGCTCCAACATCGGCAATCAGATTGCCACCTAACCTGCTCGTCCCCTCCACCAGTGAGCACGAAGCATCCACTCACACGTGTCGGTCAACATGAGATGCCTTACTTGAGCTCAGTCATTGTCGTGTTCACTTTGATAGCTTCAGCAATCGCCTTCGCTTCAGCGTTGCCAATCTGTTTCTTGCACAGGCTGTGCTTCACTCTGTCAACACACAACGTACACCTTCCAATATTTTCGGCTTTTGCTTACTCGAGCTGTTGACTCGCATCCTTGACCGTGTCAAACAACTTTTGCTGTTTTTCAGTCATATTCTGGTACGACAGCATTTGGAAGCACGCTGAATCAATGCAGCAAAACAAAAGACTGCCCACCGGCGAACTCTTTTGGAAATGGTGAAATCTGCATTGCTACCTTGGATGATACATTACACTTTGATAAAACTGCTCACTCACGCTCTGCGACAGGATTCATGAACTCGGCGTCAGCTCGACCAGAATGAAGCGCGCATGTTGAGCACAGTGCACTTCGAGCACGATCGAGTCCTTCGTCGTCCCAGCACTTGGCTCGAGCACTGCCGATTCGTGAGACCTGACGCACACGCTTGGGTGGGTTGTCGGCACCAATCCAACCGAACAAGAAACGACCTGGACAGCAATCTCGCCACTCAAAGCGTGCACAAAGCAGGTAGTGGCACCTGGGACGACTCGTGAGAAGTACCCACCCGAAATGAGCTCCAGAACGGACGTCGTTGACTGACACTGCGCCCGGCGTGTCATGACGTTGAAATCGGTTGCCACTCCGTCGAGACGAGTGCAGCCAACCTGCTCTTCGCCATGGAAGGTGATTGGCTGTAGCCATTGCATTGTATGGTTCCAAATAGTGCGTGGCAGACTTGCATCCTCATCCTTGGCCGTGCATGTGATGGTCATTGGGGTGCCACTTGTTTGAAGGAGTGTTCGTGCGACCCCCAGAAATGACGAGAACGGTCCAGCTGCGCCGACTTGCGCAGCGCTGATGCGCCAGACGAACGAGTCGATGGATGCACCGGCAGGTGACACGGCAAGCTCCGTGGTTGTCCCGAGGCCGTTCTTCCATGGCATGGTCCGGTAGTCGCTCTGCGCGAGAAATCTGAGCGTCATTCCAAATCGAGGCAAAGACTGAGCAGTCTTGCCATCGCTCGATTGAGACACTTTGATGGAGAGCTCGCAACTTTGCTTTGTAGTACTGTACAACGCGAGGGTGTAGTACAAATCACTGTATCTATATCAGATCGAGTGAGACGCAGTCCTTAACATTCCTACTGAAAGCAAACCGCGCGGCTGAGATTCTGACGACTCAGACTGAGCCTTGTTTGGATGATTCACATTCAAATGGTTCTTTATGTGTTGGGGGGGGGAGTGGTGACAGATAAAGTGTTCGGCAAGCTGAATTTCGTTTTGAACAACAAAGCAGGCGCAATCAACAAAAACGGTGCTCAAACAAGCCTCAATGTACTATCTCGCTCGTGGTGGAGGTCGGGCTTGCTGGTTGGAATAGGGGTAGCTAGGAGGCTGGTACGCGACAGACCTGGGACTGGAGCCGAGCGCAGACGAGTCGAAAACGTCCGAAAATTCCAAGTTGTCTGCTCCTTGTGCAGAGCCATAGCTGTAAGCACTACTGCTCAGTCCAGATCCCGCATTGTTGCGCGCAGCACCAATGCTCGAGCCGAGTGGTGGCATTCCCATGTAAGCAGCTCCACCCATCAACCCGGGAATTGGAGGATTATACATGGCCTGATGCTGATGATGCTGGTACTGTTGGGCCTGTCGAGGCGATGAAGACATCTGTGAGCCAAACGCGCGTTGTTGTTGTTGTTGTTGTTGTTGTTGCTGCTGCTGCTGCTGATAGTAGAATTGCTGTACTTGCTGTGGCGAATATTGCTGTTGCTGTTGTGAATACTGCTGTTGCTGTGAATACTGCTGTTGCTGCGGTTGCTGCTGTTGCTGCGGTTGCTGCTGTTGCTGCGGCTGTGTTGGTGCATATCCTGGTGCGCTGTGAGGCTGCTTGGGCGCACTGGAACGATTGCGGTTTGAGTAAGAAGAGGACGCAAACGACTGCGACCCGCCACGGGATCTTGGCGATCCGGCGCTGCTTCCACTACTGCTTCCATAGCGATTGTCTTCGAGTTCACCAGAGCGCGGGGAGAGGGGAGAGTGGCGTGTCTGCTGATGCGAGCCACTGGACTGCGCAGAGTGCTGTTGGAAGAAGGGATCCGATCCAGACCACTGATGCGACGAAGGAGGCGACGAGTACATGGTGCCAAACGACGATGCAGACATGGAAGTTCCGAGGAGTGGGAATGTGGGTGCATCGTCGGGCGTGGAAGCATACCCCGGATACAGATGCGGCTGCAGTGGGGCAGTGGGAATTTGCATGCTCGGGGACGAGCGATGCCCGGGCAGAGTCATGAGCGGCGGTGGTTGCTGGTACAAACTGGGCATCTGCTGCATGTACATTCCTGGGTGGGAAGGAGGATGGTACATGAGGGACGACGGGCCGTGCTGCTGCTGCTGGTACTGCTGCTGCTGGTGGTGGTGGTGGTGGTGGTGGTGCTGCTGATGATAATGTTGCTGCTGCTGCTGCTGCTGCTGCTGTTGGCGCTGCAAATTTTGATGCGAAAGTCGTCGCATGGCGGTTGCACCACCGCGCGGCTGTTGCGACCCCACGGCTCCGGAGGCCAAGAGCGGAGCATTCGACGATGGCGTGTCTGGAATCGGAGCCGAGTCGCCCTCTGGTGGTGCGCGACCAGAGGAAAGATGCGTTGGGAAGGCACCAAACGAGAGCCGACGATGCGAAAAGAACGGCTCACTTGATGCTTCATCATCGTGATTTGCCAATTCGTAGGATCCCATGTAGGCCGAACTGGCGTCGACACCAGCAGAAGGCGGGGCAGAGTGGCCGGTGAACACGACACGTTGATTGTTTCGCAAATTTTGGTGGGATGGAGGCACAGGTGCTGTTTGTGCTTGCAGCGGGAACTGCGAAAGCTGCTCTGGTTCGCTTGTTGCTTGTTGGAGCTGGCCTTTGAAATAGGCCGCAATGCGCCCAGGAGGTCGAGTCGCTTGCAATTGCTGATCATTCACGCTCGACATGCCATAGCTTCCTGCTGCACCGCCACTTGCCGTGCCAAACTCGGCGTCATTCCAGTCGGGCGAAATTGGCGCCCGACCGTACTGGTCCCAGCCAGGAGTGGAGGTGCTGTCGTTGCTGGCTTCTTCGGACGACGAAATTGGCTGACCCAGCTCGTCGGGAGACAAAGGATTGGAGGCGGAATGCTTGGACGAGCCGAATTCGTCCGACGAACCTGCGCGAGGCGGAGCCAGCTCAGCAGTCGCGTCGATGGTTAATCGCGCAAGTTGGGAATCGAGCGTTGTCGATGGTCCAGTCGAGGGTTGTGACGATGTTAAACTATGCTCTTGCAGATACTCGGAAACCCCAGTCCAGCTTGACGAGTACGGCGCGAGAGCAAAGGCAGCAGGATCCGCGCCAAAAGACAGTTGCGAAAGCAGCTTGTTGGCATCTTGAAGGGGCTGTTGGGATGTCTGTGTCGGGGCTTCCGAGAGTGGCTGGTCTGTTGCTGGGCTGAGCGACTTGGAAGCCATATCGTTCCAGGACGTTCCAAGCGCGGGCTGGTCTTGCGAGTCACTTGGCTGCTTGTCGGATGTCGCAGCAGCGTTCGTCTCGCTACCCCATTCAACAGCTGGCTGCTGTTCGGAAACGGAAGACAGGTTGGGAGCTCGATCGAGAATGGTCTCGTTAGAAACATCGCCAAACACGCCCGCGTTGCCGTGGAAGGTGTGGGCACGCTTTCGAATCGTGTTGTCGCCCCCGACGACCGCCGCAGCGACGGCCTCGTGAATGGCAGAGTTTGGCAATGCAGCGGCCAACTGCTGTTGCAGGATGCGAGCGCGTTGCATTTCTTCTTGTTGCTTTTGTTGCTCTTGCTGGGCAGCCTTGGCTTTCTCGAGCTCCTGCTGCTCCTTGGCTTTGGCAACAAGTTGCAAATAGTACGCGTTTTGCTCCTCCAGCGAATACTGTGGCGCAGCAGCCGGCGGCGGCGGCGGCGCTGCCGTAATTGGTGGTGGTGGTTGTGGTGGTGGAGCTGCGGCGTGCGTGGCGGGGAGGACGCCAGCGTCCGGAGCAGGCACGAACGGTGTGACCAGTGGTTCGTTGCGCAAGAACGGGTGGGCGGCAGCTTGTGTTGGAGTCCAACGGTGCCTGGCATCCACATTCAGCAGACCTCCCAGGAACGAGATGAACGAGCGTCGGAGCGCAATTTCTGCAACAAAAAAGCAAACAGGGGGGGTGTGCGTGCGTGGGTGAATGTTACGAATTCGCATGCAAAGTCGATTCCTCAGAACAATCCGTGTCTACTGACCCTTTTCGCGCTGCTGGTCGGTGAGATCAGTCTTCAACCCTATCTGTACTAAATCGTCAAGACAGTTCATCTCGTAATAACGCTTGGACACTTTCTCGACAGTGTTGTATTCCTGCAACAACCCACAAGATGGACGCGGTGTGAGCACTCGACCCCACAGCACAAGGTCACGGCACAAGTCTTTTCGTTCGTTGGAGACCATACCATTGCAAACGCTTGCATCGAGACCAGCTCGTAATTTGTCGCATCCACACGACGGAAGAATTTGTGAGCAGTTTTTCCATTCCGGATCATGTGGGTTGGAGGTAAACTGTGTCCAAAGGCGATGGTGTCAGTGTCACATGCAACAAAATATAGAAGGCGGGAGGCGACAAATGCAGAACGGCAAAAAAAAAAAAAAAAAAAAAAGAGCAAAAATTTCAAGAACCAAAACACAAACAGTACTCACCCAAGCAATGACACAATGCGGTAGACTTGATCATACTCTGAAGAGCCGGGGAAGATTGGAAGACCCAAGAAGAGCTCGGCGGCAATGCAACCGACCGACCACATGTCGATTGCGCTTGCATACGGCAATCCGTACAGCACCTCTGGCGAGCGGTAAAACCGAGACTGGATGTAAGTGTACATGGTGTCGTGTTCGTAACACGCCGAGCCGAAATCAATGATTTTGATTGCAGGAGAGTGCGAGCTGTTTCAAAAAAAAAAAAGAAGCACAAAGAATGAGCGCCGCCAGGCAAGAAGAAAAAAAAACGCAATAAATCAAAGTGAACGCAACATACTCGATGAGCAGAATGTTCTCAGGTTTGAGATCGCAATGGATGACTTTGGCTTGCTTCAGAACGGCGAGAGCGTCAAGAATCTGGGCGGTGAAGAGCCGAATGAGGTTGAGCGACAAGCCGCGGAACTTGTTCTGCTTGAGGAGCTCAAAGAAATTGACTCCAAGAAGTTCAAAGGTGATGCACAAGTGCTCTCGGAAGATGAACGAGTCATACAGTCTGGTGATGTGATGGCGATCATCCCGATCATGGCTGTTATTTAACTGCAAGAAGATTTCACGGTAGGTTAAAGTCAGAACGTGAGAAGAGCTTAAAAGACAACAGAGCAACAGCAACGTCTCTAGATCAACTTACCAGTCCCAGGATTCGCACTTCCATCATGGATTGATTAAAGTAGGCGGGTTTGTTCTTGACAACCTTGACTGCAACCAGCTCGTCCGAGCCTTCTCGTCGACATTTGACCACTTGGCCGAATGTGCCTGCACCGAGCGAATCCACGATGATGTATCTACGCGAAAGAGAGGAGGCGGTTGGAGTTAGTAAAACAGCAAACAGCAAAGCAAGCAAACAGAAAACTGAAATCGTGGCGCAAAACAACAAGCAACACACCGATGTCCTGGAATATCGCCCAGCACATCGTTGACATAGAGAATGTAGTCTGAATGCTCATTGTCGTGGTTGTGGTTGAGCCTTCCTTCGGACGGCTGGGTGAGCACTCGTCGGGGATTGAGCGTTGTCGTGTACTGGAAATTCGGGTTGATCACTCGGAACAAGTCCAGCAGGTACTTGGATGTGCGGATGGTTGGCTAAAACATGTGTGCAAAGTTCACAATACACACACAAAAATCATGGGGTTTTTTTGAGAACATGAACGCACAGGGCAAGATGTTCAGAGCTAAAAGAGCGTAAAAATCTTCGAATCAACGCAACAAGCGCCAAATTCGGAATCTCAACGCCGCGAGAGTCGATGCAAGAACACAGCAAAATCTCCCAACAGCTCATCACAATAAAGTCAATAATAAAGTTAATAATAATAATAGGAATAATAAGCATGAGTGAAAGAGAGTGACGGAATGAAAGCGAACGGAATAAAACGAACGAAGAAAAAAAAAAGCGATTTTTTTCGCAAAAATTTCGGTGACAGACTTTGAAAAGAATGAAAAAAAAAAAAAAAAAAAAAAAAAGGCAAGGAAAAGTGCGAGTGGAAAGGCAACAACGAATGGGTTGGAGTGGGAGAAACGACGTAGCAATGCAATTCACACTGACCTTCCAGGTGCGCCGCGAGACAAAGACGGGCGGGGAGGGCGGCGACTGGGGCTGGTCTTGCCAATTGGCATCATCGGAGTTGGCGTTTGGACGAGCACCAGCACCAGCACCAACAGCGGCAGCGGCAGCCACCACGGCAGGCGACGCGGACGTTGGCGACGACATGGATGACGAGGACGACGATGCTGTGGACGACGACGACGACGACAACGAGGAGAAGGACGAGGTGGAGAGGGTCGACGCCGGTCTGCCTCCTTCTGCTGCTGCTGCTGCTTGGGCTGGCGGGATTGACGTCCAAGCGTCCGATCCAGCTGCCCGCGCCTCGCCACCCGCAGCCCCGCCCGCACGCGCAGTCAACGAATGACTCGTCTGCAACAACGCTGGGTCGGCAGCGAGGGCCGTCGGTGGGCCAGGGTGCGAGCCGACAAAGGCCGCTGTTCCTGGGTAAGATTGAACGGCAGTTGTCGAAGTGGCTTGCTGCTGCGCTGTTGCTGCTGCTGCTGCTGCTGCTGTGGCCGCTGCCGCTGCCGCCGCTGCTGCAGTGGTGAATGCAGTGAGCTCTGACTCTGCAGCCGCCGCGCCGGCCGTGATGCTGTCGAGCAGTGACGACGCGCGCGCTCGGGTTGCTGGAGGAGGAGCGTCGTTCCGGCTCTGCTGGCTCTGGTTACCGCTGCTGCTGCTGCCGCTGTTGAGGCTGCTCGTGCTGCTGCTTGCGGTCGAGTGCGTACTGCTGCTGCCGCCAGAGTGATGGTGTGTGTGGTGGTGGTGCGAGTGGTGGTGCGAGTGGTGATGGTGATGATGGCTGCCGGTTGCGCCAGTCTCGCTGGTGGTACGCCGAGGGACGTGAAAGGCCAGCGCAGAGAGCACCGCCTTGTCCCCTTCAGGCGGCCGGACCACCGCCGCCATTTTGTACCAGCACTTGGGGGGAAAAGAGAGAGAGAGAGAGAGAGAGAGAGAAAGGAGAGGGTCTAAAGGCAAAGTGAGATCAAACGAAGGGAAAAAAAAGAAAAAAAAAAAAAGGAATGACAAAAATTAAAAACAAAGAAACGCAAACCGAAAAATCAGAAGCGTTTCTGAGTCAAGAAATGCAAACAGCTACAAGAGTGTCGAAATCAAGAAAATGGAAAGAACTGAAGTTGCGAGCAAAACCTGGCACTCCTCTTGACGCTCGCACGGCCGAATAAAGGCGTGGATAGACAGGATTCTCAGATTCACGCGAGCGCATTCTGACCCAATTTTGGAGGGGGGTCATGCCGGAACAACAGAGTAGTGCGAGCATCGTGAGTAGTACGAGTTGCATAGGTGTGAAGTGTTGGTGCCTTTGCAGTCATCGGCAAGCTCAGAAACCAATAGAGCACGATGAAATCTCGTTGAAATCTCGTGTCCGTCGAAAGTGTGAGAAAATATTCAATGCTTGGAATACCATGACCAGGTTGTACACGCGCAAACACACAACAAATAAATTCAACTAACCCCCCCCCCCGCATCGACAAGGGGTTTATCGAGTGTTGGCGGCCTTCTTGCGCTTGCCAGTCTTGGACTTGGCGACGTTCGGGTTGCGCTTGCCGTAGCCGAACTGAGCACCTGGTGCCGATCGTGCCTGCACATCGATGAAAGCAAAGGGCGAAGCTGTAGCAATAAAGTCTTGAGCGGTGGCAGCCTTGTCGAGCTTTGTCTGGTGGTTGCTGTAGCCCATTCGTGCAATGCGCTCTTTCTGGTCCTCTCGCAAAATCAGGTCTTTGTTTTCCCGGCCACCTTTTGGCAGAGGAATCGAGTACTGTTAACAAAGAACACAGGATTTTGAAAGCGACAGTCTCAACAACGGTGAGTACAGACGAAAGCGTCGAGACAAAAATGGTTCGGAACCAAAACGGCGCAGTCGTCGCGAACACGTACAATAGTGCCACGAGTGATACCCTTTTGCCCACGAGGAGACTCATGGTGAGTAATAACTCCCTGATCATTCACGCTAATGGAAATCTTGCGCAAGGTGGGATTGCCGCAGGAGGGGCAAAACTCTTTCATCATGTTGTCCGTTGTGCTGCAAAGTGGGCAGGTGTAAAGTGTGAAAGTGAGTGTCAGAAACACGGTAGCGAGACCAACCACAACGAGAAAAGGCAACGAAAAGCCGGGAGACGCGCTCACCGGAAGCACGCATGGCACTTGAGAACAAACTGCTTGGTGCGGCGAATCAACATGCCGTCAAGCGAGATGACCTTGAGGCCCATCTGAATCAGAACGTTCTGCATGGCGAAATCTGTCGTGACACAGCCCACTTGGACTTGCTCGGGCGTGGCGGTGGCTGCGCCAGTGCTGTTCCACGCCTTGTTGGCGAGGTGGATGTTGTCCGGAGTAATCCAGCCCGCATCGTCGTCTTCATCGTCATCCTCTTCGGCATTCTCTGGGTTGCTGGCGGCAGTCTCTGCGGAAGATGCTGAGCTGGCATCTTTGCTTGTCGTAGCGTCCGCGGCATCTTCTGAGCTCTCGACGGGGGTTTCCGTTGGTGCACTAGCCGAGGTGGGTTCGCACGGTGCGGACTCGGCAGCGGCAGCAGAAGTTGCAGGAGTTGCTTCCACGGCCGTGTCTGTGGAAGTGGAAGTGGTAGCTGGTGCAGACGCTGCTGCCCCGGCCTTCTTGGGAAAGTAAAAACCCGAGTGCTCGGCATGTGCCGCAACAATTGGTCCCGGGCGGCTAGTGATGCGAACGTCGCGAGTCGGCTCTGATCGCAAGTGTCCAACACCGCCCTTGCGCTCCTTTTCAAACATCCAGGTCAGTGCCATGACCTTGAGATCGACTTGCGACAATGATCGAATATCACCGGTCTTGCTTGCGAATGAAGTCACTGATTCAGTCCCCCCCCCAAATAAAAACAAGCAAGCAAGCAAACAGTCAGAACAAGCAATATAAGTCGATCTTGTGAGCAATAGCACGATTGGTCAAGTATCGGTTGTTGAATTGGAGAATGGTCGTTTCACAGTGAACTTGAGCCAGAGCGTTTGCCGCCGAGAACAACGGCAACAAACGAGCCCCACTCCCAAACACGAGACGATTGGGAACACCAAACAAAGCGCAACCAGAGCAGCGGACTGGGGGGGGGGGTCCGAGACACGATGAACCCCACCAGTCAGCGGATGCCATGTGTGTCGAGCGTGGCTTGGTTTCGTAATGCTGGGCTCCCTTGTTTGTGAAGCCAACCACAAAACCAACAGCTCGCCGTGCTTTACCTGCAGCAATGGCCTCGTCTGAAGGGTCGCGGTACTTGAGGGTGTACAGCTGTGGGAGTTGCAGGCGCTCGCGAGTGCGCTCGTCGCGGAGCTCGGAGACAACCTCATGGAGCGTGTAGATTTCGCGGCCCATTCGCTCGAGCGGCGCGCCCTTGATGAAGGCTGCAGAGTCGACGACAAGCACATCGACCATGGCGCTGTCGAATGACGCGGCGGCTGCGGCAAACGGATCGACCTCGGCCGCGGAAACTGCGGGGGCAGCAGCGGAAAAGGAAGAAGAAGAAGAAGAAGCAGAAGAGGAACTCATCGCAAAGAACAAAAAAAAGGATTGGAACTTGTGCATGATAATGTCGAGACGCGGAGAACTGCATAGAAATGCGCGACTTTAATCGAACGAATTGGAGGGAATACACAAGAGAGAGAGCACAGAAGCGACGAAGCGGAAGAAACAAATGCGACGAAACAAAACAAAAGCAACACAATTTGGCTTCCAAGAACAGCAAATCATGATGCTGGCATCGTGCACAAGCGAACAACCACTACGAAGAAGACCGGGAGCAAGAAAAACACTAGTGGAGGGAGGGGGGTGCTTAATAGGAATAGTTGGAAACGAAAAGCTTCTCGGAGGCGGACGCGTCAGTCGAGCCCTGGTACTTGCCAAGAGTGGCATCAGAGTTGGCCTTGGCACGCTTGAGAAGAGCCTGCTGGGCGGCAGCGACGTTGGCCTTGTCGCCCTTCCAGGTCTTGAGGACGGTGTGCTGGAGGGCACGGCCGTACGAGAAGGAGAGAGCCCACGGCTTCTTGGTCTGGAGGGCGTTCATGGCGTTGAGGTGGACGGTGGCCTCCTCCTCGGACTGGCCGCCAGAGAGGAAGACGACGCCGGGGACGGCGACGGGGACGGTGCGCTGGAGGACGGTGAC